TTTTCTTTCTTCACACCTAGATGCATCAGATAAATGAGAATCTACATAAAGGACGCCTTTGGGGGGAAAAGATCGCTTGAGTCTTCAGCCCATTGGAGAGACCCCTGGCACGAGCAACCAGCTGTTGAAAAGGTTATTTTGTAACATTTTGTCTAACTTTTTACTTGTTTAAGTTGCGCCTCAAGTGGCAGATTTTACATTTTATGTGCCATTTTGTTGCTGTTATTCAAATTTCTTGTAATTTAGTGGTGAACGACTACCGATTTCATTATTGGCTTGGATATTTGAGGTAAAACTTCATTTTTGTTTATATAGTGCTGACTTTCACTTGAAATTAAAACTGATGGTAACTTGCTGCCTCCAGTTTCATACTGAGAAAACATGCAGCCAGTATATGCTGAGTAGCTAACTCTGTCAAAAAGTATTCTCAATTTTGTCTTCATTCCTTAAATAAAATTCTGCAAAACTTCAATTTGAAACTTACTGTAAATGCTTTTTTTTTACTTTGAATTCAAATAGTATCTTCAAATTCAAATTGATAGAAATCTTTTCAGGTGACAGTTGATATTTGAAAGGATTGTTTTATCAGACTCAATTCTAATCTCTTCTCTTATGTATTTTTGTGCACTAGGCGCAGTTGTGTAGCAGTTGAGTAATGCTGGTTAGCTGTTAAGGTGGCGTGTTGCAGTGCAGAGTGCTTGGCTGTTTCCTGTTTTCTCCTGATTGCTCCTGTGTAACGATGCCTTGTCGTGCAGAAACAAATGGCTGTCCAGTTAATTAAAATGCCTGACAACTGCACTTCCAGTCACCCGGGCCTTGCGTAAAAATAATGGAGCATACAGTGAGCACATCTAGCTGATGATATACACACCTTATTTTTTCCAGAATGATAAAACATACCAACCTACATATATGAACTTGCATATGAGAAATGTAATGTTAAGAAAAGAAATGGTTCATTCCTTTGTAAGTACTGATTGGTGTATCTTTTGCTTAAGACATTCTGTACTATACCCACTGTCTCTGTAGTTAATATTAAACATTTTTCTGTGTTAACTTTTCTCAACTTAATGTCTGAGTCAGCTTATTTTTAGCTTGAAAAGATTTCTGCAATTATACTGTCAATGTTTAACTTCTCTATAGTAACTGAATGCATTCTACTACTTACAAATTTTATCCACTGGGGTTGCTTTTAAATTACTGTGGGCAAACTTAATTAGTATTGTGACTAACCCAAACACTGTATGGCAAGTATTGCACACCAGACTATAAACGAACAGGTCTGATAGACATTGTTACCAAGATACACACTGAGCAGTACTAATTGCATTTGCTGTGTGCTTGCCCTGACAACAGGCTGCTGCTTGATGGTAGCTAATCTTACCGTGATTATTTTTCTTGATTTGGATACCAGATGAATTGTAACTTAAATCATCATGTGTCAAGGGTTATTGTAATGCCTTGTTAACTTTATGCATGTATGTTAAATGGGAATGGAAACATCTGAATACTTGGTCTGGCTTGATTGGGGATTAAAAGTACTTTTCTACAATCTGAGGAGTTTTTATCTTCCAGGACTGCATATAGCTAGTGGCAGTCTACACAGGTTCATTTAAAAACAATGGGGCTGGCTTTTGTATCAATAAATCTTTGGGAAAGAGCTTCAGTCCTGGAAAATGGCTCTTAAGGGAATATTTTTTTTTCTATCTTGAAAGAGTGCAGTTAACTCTTCTTCATAGCTGAAGTTGTGAAATGAAATTAGAACTTGCGGATTTTGTCAGGTTGTTAAGCTATTTTGTGTAGTGGCTTACCTAATAGAATTGAGTCTTTGAACTATTACATGGTCTTTGGGGAGGAGCACAAATTTCTCAAAAGCCATAGCTGAAAAATTGAACAGATTTATTTTTACAGTGCATGTTTAAAGAATTACTGCTAAGGGGATCTGCTTCCCAGAAAGTACACATGAGGTTTGCTGTAAACAGGACTGTTTTCTGCAGATCTGTGATACAGTGAACAGTTTTAAGTATCACCTTTTATTGGAACCAACAAGTGGAATAAACTTAAGTTCCATCTGATTGTGCTAGTGAGATGATCATCATTTCAATTGTATGTCTTCCTGGTAGAGAAGAGCTGGCCAGGTGCTCTTGGTCTGCACTGAACGAATGCAGGGGAATGTGGATAGTCTTCAACTTCCATTTGCAGAGCAAAGCTTCAATAGACCAGTCGGCACTGAGGGGAGGAAATACCAGTGTGTGAACACATCCCAGTTTATAATTTTGGTAGTAATGACAGGAGATTGTCACCAGACAAAACAGTTCTCAAAACTGTTAAGTTTTCTAATCAACAGTAACTTGGTGGTTCTGTTTGGCTGCTGCATGGCTGATACCAGCTTGATCCAGTATTTGTGAGGAGCTTCTCTGGAATTGGTATGGTGGTGCCTCTGAGAAGTTAACACTTTTTAAGAGTTAAAACCAAGGAGACAGGAATTAATATTTGCATCTTAAATATGCAAAGGAGTTTACCTTCGGACTTGGTAAGTAGTCCAGAATTGAGCATGTGGATTCTTTTCCAGCAAGAAGTAAACTGTAGTTAAAATATCTTCAAAGTCTGTGTAGTTTGGGGAGATTAAACAGCCTTGGTTAGAGTCTGGATTCTAGGTAGTTAAATACATCTGGTCATATGAAATGGTAATTAAAAATCAGTGTAAGACTAACGGCCTCTGTATGAGAGACTGGAGAAGTGTGGCCTTGAGCAGTTGGTTAAGTACTCTATTTTCTATTCATCTCCCTCTGACGGTATTTATGACAGCTTAATGCTAGAATTACCCTAAGAATAACAAGTTCAATACCATGCTATCACCTGATCTCTTGACTCTGTTCCCAGTATGACTTAGGCAAGAAGTCCTTGCAAGTTTGTCACAAATCAAAGATACTTGAGAGTTTTAACGTACCTTTTGGGTCAAAAAAGACATCTGATCCTAAAATAATGTCTACAGGAGCAAGAGCAAGCAGCTGTGGCGATATCCGCCCCCAGGTGAGCCCTATGACGGGGACGTGGGGCAGGTGGTTCGCCCGGCAGCTGCTCCGGCAGCGCTGCAGGCAGGGCGGCAGCTCCTCGCTGTCGGACAGGGTCACCTCGGCACCGCACTTGGCCGCCACCACGCCGGGGAGACTCACGCCCGCACCGATCTAGAAGCACCGCGCGGTCAGAGAGGCGGGAGGGGGACGCTGCCCCTGCAGCTAGAGCCAAGTGTCGGGGAGGGGGGGTGCAGGCAGCGGTACCTCCAGCACTCGCTTGCCGCGCAGGCTCCTCCTGTGGACCCAGAGGTACTGGGCCAGCACCACGGCGCAGGGCCATACGTACAGCCCGTACTGCGAGTCCAACACCTGGAACACACCGGGCGCGGCGCTGGGAAGGCGGGACTGGCCCC